ATGACATGAAGGTTATGTTAACCAGTTTGATGAGAGTATTTCAAAATGTATATGAATACAGCACACTGTACCCCATGATTGCATTAATGTACATAGTTATGCCATAAGAAATTCAAAAAAAAAAAAAAAGAATGAGATAGGCACACTTAGGTTCTGTTGACTTCTGGTTTGTCAAAAGATTTTTTTTCCTTTGTTTATTAAGTAATTGCTATATATTTGAGATGTTATTCACTAACTTGGAAGCACGTGTATTCTAGGGCCATCCCCTAGTTGGACACGTACTGAGAGTAAAGGGAGTGGAGACCAACAGGCTCTCAGTTGTCAATTCTGCATTACCACAATCACTTAAAAGCATGTTTCTCAGAACCCCTTTTCCCTGTATGTTTTCTGTAGTTTCTGAAAGATAGGCCCTCACATCACATATGGAAAAGTAAAGGAACATTTAACATTTATGGAAACCCACAGGCCGACACATGGATAGAGCTGAGGGATGGTGATTACCTGATGAGGTACAGAGGCAGCTGACAACATCAGCACCCCCACCCCAGCTTCCCACAGGTCTGAGGCCCACGTGGTCAGGCAGCCCACACCTTCAGGGACAGATGCACTCTGGCATGAGCATGTCATCCCATTTCCAGGCCCTCCCTTCCTAACATGCCCCAGGATTTGTAGGATTGTATTTTAGACACCAATTCCCTTAATTAAAACAATTCTTGATTCAATGCATCCAAGTGGTTTCTCTTTTGCTAGAGAAATAACAAAAGATACCATATGTCAGACATTTCAGATGTAACAAAAAATTAAGACACATAATGTCACATCTCTGTTGCTGGGGCTGAGGAGAAAGACAAAGATTTAGAGCCCAGGGAGCCTCACCAACCTCTTAAACCAAAAGTGTCCAGGGCCTTTAGAACATGCTGCCTCTGAGAAATGTCCTCAGCAGACAGAGGAAGGAGGCGGAGCAGCTGGGGCTCCCCAGCCTCACACACCTGCTTCCCTGGGGTGGTTTATGCTATGACTTGTAACACTGTGGAGGGAAACTGTCATACTGCAGACAGTAATAATCTGCAACATCTTCAGCCTGCAGGCCACTGATGGTCAGAGAATAATCTGTCCCAGACCCACTGCCTCTGAACCTCGAGGGGACCCCACTGTCCAAATTAGATGCCCCATAGATCAGTCGCTTAGGAGGTTTTCCTGCTTTCTGCTGATACCAGTCTAAAATATTGTTAATGCCCTGACTGGCCCGACAAGTGATGGTGACTGTGTCTCCTAGTGATACAGACAGGGTGGATGGAGATTGTGTCATCTGAGTGGCACAGCTGGCACCTGAAAGAGGAAAAATAAAAATCAAATATACACACAGTTAATCAATTCTTAGGAGGACTTCCCTAAAGACCCAGGCAGGACTGACCACACTCAGTAAATCCCTGGTGTTCTCCCTCCTTACCTGGGAGCCAGAGCAACAGCAGACCCAGGAGCTGGGCAGGGGCCCTCATGTCCATGGTGTGTCCTGACAGGGACTGACTTCTACACTGGGTATGACCAGCTTGTTAATAATTCTCCAAGGAAGGGGGCTGTGCCCTGGGAACATGCAAATCAGTGGAGGCTGGGCAGGCTGGGCACAGCTGCAGGGCTGGCTCATCTCAGTGACTCAGAAGAGGCTCAGTGTCCCCAGGTGTCCCAGGGCAGACCAGGCAGCATAGATTTGCCTGTAGAGAATGTCTTTGTGCCTGGAGAATGTTTTACTGAAAAGGACATTTGGGGGCACCTATTGTTAACAGTTGAAGTGAAATGAAAAGAAAATGGAATCATGTATTTCCAAGTTATATTGGGAGTTCTTAGGGAAATATCATTATTATTATTATTATTATTTATTGCAGTTTTTGGCCAGGGCTGGGTTAGAATCTGCCACCTCTAGCATATGGGGCCAGTGCCCTACTCCTTTGAGCCACAGGCGCCGACCATGAATATCCTTATTTATAAATGATTATAACAAAGACTTATATGTAGGGCTATCAGGTAGTCAAGATATTGTCAAATGTTTCTAGACAAGATTCTTGGGACCCCACACTGCAGCTCCTGCTGAGCTTCTCAACTGAGCCTTCAGGTCAACATCCTCTTCATCCTCACTACACGGTCTCCCTGAATGATTATTTTTCCACAGGCAACCAAATGAGACCACTCATCGCCAAGTGTATATGGAAGCTAGATTCAAGTTTTCTAAACACACCCATGCCCTCCTGGGTTCACTAAGGGTTTGTGATTTGACCTAAGGTGCATTTAAGCAGGAACCACATGAACCCTGAGTCACTGAAGCCTTAGAGCCTGGCTGGATGCACCACTTCTCCAGGAGCTTGCAGTGTCATCAGGGCACAGCCTTAAGAACCAGGCAGGTGTTCAATCAACTCTGTGATTGTTCCTGAGAACACATCACAGGCTCTACCTGGGTTCATATCTCCACCCAATCCCAGCAGCATCAACACACCAACATAAAGGCCACAGAGCTGGGTCCTGAGCCCACAGCTGACCCTGCCATGTGCTTCACTTTCTGCTTTACTTCCTCTGCCAGAGTCTCAATCTTCTTCTTTTTCCCTGGGAAATACTTGTATGCACAGTGATATGGTTTGGATGTTCAGACCCTCCAAACAATGTGTTGAAATTTATTTTTTTAATTTACGTCAGTTTTATTTCTGTATTTATTTATTCTTATTTTTTATTTCTGATTACTATGAGGGTACAAATGATTAAGTCGCATTGTTTGCATTTCTAAGGTAAAGTTCAAGTTGCAGTCGAGCCCCTCCCCCAGGGGGTGTGCTCATACCCTCCACTGTGCACATGAGGAGAGAGCTCAGCTCCTTCCCTCTCCCCACTCCTTCCTTTCCCTTTTCCCTCATTTAAATACACTCATCTTTTACTCTCATGTGGGGGTGTAGTTCTTTTTCTATTGGTTTCACATAAGTATTATGCACATTGGATACTTCCTTTTTCCTTCTTGTGAAACTTTTCAAAGAAGAATGTGCTTCAACTCCATCCAGGTAAATACAAAAGATGTAAATACCATGGAATGCTCTTCGGTCATAAATAACATGGGGACTTCACAGGTTGATATTTGATCCCCAGGGCTGGAGATCAGCTGGGAGCTGGTGGGAGGTTTTTGGGTCATGAGACCAGATCCCTCTTAAAAGACTTGGTGCCCTCCATGGAAGAGAGTCAGTTCTCACTTCATTAGTTCACAAAAGAGCTGGTTGTGTTTAACACGCTGGCACTGCCTCCTCCCTCTCCCCCTCCTTCTCTCAACTTAAGATGACCTTGCTGCCCCTTCACCTTCTACCTGGATTGGAGCTCTCTGCAGCCCTCAACAGAGGTGGATGCTGCTGCCAAACTCTTTGTTCAGTCCGCAGGCCCATGAGCCAAATGAACCTCTTCTATTTATGAATCAGTCAGCCTCAAATATTTCCCTTATAGCAACACAAAATATTCTAACAGACACGTTTCTTGCACTTATCAAACTTCTGTGTAATATGGCGTGCTGTGCTCTCTAATTCATCCAGTGGCTCTTGGTTATATTTTAAAATGCAGCTTTGGAGTTCAAAAAGCACCATTTTGTTAAATTGTGCTTTAACCTATTTGAATAAGATTGTTCAAAGACTTTTGGTTCTAGGCATTTATTACTTGATTTACCAAAGCCTGCCTATTAGTGTAGAAAACCTGAAATGGTTTTCTTAGCTATTCCCCTGAGATTAGGAATGTAAAATCCTGTGCCTCCTCTAGTCCCCAAGAAGAAGGTGTACTAAAAACAAATTGGGGGTTGTGGTGGGAATGGCAAAGAGAAGACAGGCAGTGTCCTAACATCACCTAACATCATCCTGCTGAATGTAGAGTCGCTGAGCTAAGAGAAAACCAATCAATGTGCCCGTATTATGTTGTCATGAATGGGCCTTAGTTTTGTGACTGCTATGATGGGTGGTAACAATAGTAATAACAATGATAGTAATAGTAATAAAACCAGAGTCGGTCTGGTGTTCTGGCCACCATTTCCATGACACACTAAGCACCTTCTGAGTCAGTGTTGTGGATGGGCCCCCTCTTGTGGTCAAGTATGTGAGAGTCCTGAAGGTATTTCCAGTGATTTGACATTACCATTTGTAAGGAGATGCACAAATTCTTTCTAGCAATTTTTCTTTTTCTTTTTCTTTTTCTGTTTCTCTTTCTCTCATTCTTTCTTTCTTTTTTTTTTTTTTGAGACAGACTCTCTCTATGTCTCCTTTGTGGAGTGCTTTGGCATCACAGCTCACAGCAATCTCAAACTCTTGGGCTTAAGTGACTCTCTGGCCTCAGCCTCCCGAGAAGCTGGGACTACAGGCGCCTACCACAACTCCTGGCTATTTTTTTTATTGTTGTGGCAGTTGTCATTGTTGTTTATCTGTCTCAGGCCTAGTGTGAACCCACCAGCCTGGGTTTATGTCACCGGCACCATAACCACTGAGCTACAGGCACCACCACTCTAGCACATTTTTCAAACATATTTTCTTCTGATACATATAACAAATCATAATTGGATGTCGGGTACTCAGCAAGAGGGCACATTAGACAGTGATGTGTAGTTTGCAGGAATGGTCTATGAGCTGGGATTTCCCCTCCATGTCTGGGATCCAAGTGCTGAGGAGACCACACCATACTTAGCTGCACAGCATCCTGACAGCAAGGGAATGACTGTAGAGTCCTCAGACTTGGGGTCCAGGGGGAATCAGACATTCTGGGCATCTATCATTTGTCTATTACCCTCTCTTAGTTATAACATGTGGGCAGCTTCTCTCTTGGTTGTCCACTGTCACCCCTCAGCTCCCCTGGCCTTTCCCCAGAGGACAGGGCTAGGGGCTGCACAGGGAAAGTGGGTTTAAGTCTTCATTTACAGTTAGATTTAAACATCACTCCATCTAGCAATCTCACCAGGGGCGCTGGGCCTGCAGATGATTATGGAGGGAGGATCATCTTCTTCTGTCTTCCCTAAACCAAACATACCCTGGATTTTTGTGGGGGTTTAAATTCTACATAAAGGTTAAATTCTTGCTTCAAATCTGAATCTATACTGAAAACAGAGTATGAAGGCTGAGAGCAGTGTCTCTGTTGGCTGCCTTTCGCCCTGAGTCCACAAAAGACCATGACACCTGCGTTAGTTAGGGCCTGACACGGGCCCCTCATGTACAGCCCCTTGTCACACAGCTCTGTCCCCTCTGCCCCAGCTCTCTCAGATCTCTCTCTGTCCAGCAGCTCCCTCATTTTGGAGTCTCAAAATGAATGAGTGCTCCGCCCTCTCTTAGCCTGAATCTAGTACTCTGTTATTTGTGAAATAATAATTCAGACTTTATTAACTTTAGCCATAGCCTGGCCAAAATCATTTAAGAGGTGATTTTGAGCACTGGCTCAGGGCTCACCTACATTCTCCCCAAACCCTGAGTTTCTCTTGGAAAGATAAAACACTATTTCACTGTTAGCCACTTTCCCACAAGTATGTATTGAGCCCCGGCTGTGAGTCAGGCACCGAGCCAGATGTTAAGTTTAAATATGACAAAAATGGAAGCGGGAAGGGAGGGCAAGATAGAAAAAGGGAGAGACTGAATTTAAAACCTGTGTAATTCCTAGGACAGACCCTGGTTCCTCCAGGTCTGTTTATTCAGAAGTGCAGCAGAGGGAGCCAGCAGGGGCCACAGTCCTCCCCTGGACAGAAGTAGCCCTGGAGCCTCACTTCCCGTCAGGCCACAGACACCCCATGTTCTAAGCTCTGGAGGAAAATCCTGTGGAGCCATCACCTGGGAAGAAGAATGGAAATGTGCTCACACACATGCTCACATCCTGTGCCAGGCGGAGCCGCTAACGCAAGTTCAATATTCACAGTTGGTTTGCCTTTGGTCTTGAAAATAGTCAAAGTAGTCAATCCTGAAGTTACTTAATTTCGTCTTTTCTTTCCTAATCCATTATCCTTGGTTATTTTATTCATTCATGGGTAGTTTTTTTGTATTCCATCTAGATTTCTCCTATCTTTGTCAATTTTACTAATTTATTTTTTATAGAATATGTGTGATAGTAATATTGTACCCATAAGACACAAATATACAGCAGCAGAAAATGTGTGGGCAGAAAAGTGACACATGTGACACAGGTCAATCTTCTGTCTCCCACTGCCATCGCCCTCCCTCTACCACTGTCTCCCAAATCCCCCTCCCAGGGAACTCCTGTCTGTCCTCCCTGTTTCTCTTTGTTTCCTTTCTGAATCTCCCCTGCTTCCTTACAAGGATAATAATAACATATTTTAATTTTCCTTTTATTTTGCTGTTTTTTCAGTTCATGAAAATCTTCCTTTTTGTACAGCTGAGAGCTACACTATTGTGTAGAGGTGACAAGTTTTTCAACTTCAGTTTGAACAATGGACCTTTTCTTGTTTTTTTAAATTTTAGATTACTACAAAGTTCCATATAGTTAGGTTACAATGTGTGCACTTGTC